AAAGTTTGAGGGGTTTTGTTCCTTGGTTGACAATGAACACGATGGTGGTTTCGGCTCGTCGATCGGACGTCAGACGGTGAGTAAATTGGAGTTGAAAGAAGGGTTGTTAGAGAGGAAAAAACTGGAAAAATAATTCTGGAAACTGAAGGGGGAAAGATTTATAATTCACATAAAAAATGGTTAAATCATGGGTTTAGCAACTAAACTTTCTTCACTTCTTAAAACGGTCTGCCAACTTTGAAATTATTCAATTTAATCCTCAATTTCTTCTAAAATTCCAATTAAATTCACCAATTTATAATTTCTTAAATTTAGTCCCTAAATTGGGATGTTACAATTCTCCCCTCCTTAAAAAGAATTTCGTCCTCGAAATACATTCATGTCATATAATTGCAGAAATAAAACTTTCATCAGTTCTCTCATATCTTTAAGTAGCTTTTACAAAAGTACAGATTCTCCACTAATCCTTAACCAGCTGAGTATACATTCTTATCAGAATTCTCTCTCAGTCCAAGTAAATAATCAAAACAACTTTATCCGTGTGAAATCAATTCAACCTTGGTTATGTGAATAGGCTCATAGGCTCATAGAGCAGCAACATATCCCAATTTCATTTATGGAGTCGAGTCAGAATTCCTCAGATGAATAACTCTCACATGGCTCATGAGATAGTTACAGCGTTTAGACAGATGTTACTGGTATTCCTTTTTGTACAAGTATAGCCTTAACGGATAGAAATTTGGGTTCGCTCGTTACAGATAGAGACTCAACCTTAGAGTTCCAGCTCAGAGAAGTACGATTGTAGTCTAGGGACATGTACTGATCAGGCATCTTTTGAAATTCGACCGGTCGGTCTATCTTGAAAAATTTTGACTCAAACCAAAGCTCTGATACCACTAAATGTAACCCCCACAGACCGATAAGGTTAATCAGATCCGATCCAAGGTGTCACATTTGGGCCACCGGAGCGACCCACTGTAAAAATAGCGGAAAATTTAAAACTTTTATTGAAACGTGTAACTTATAAAATCAGTTGTCACTATTTAAAAATAAAACAGACGTCCAGACTCGTATATAAATCAAAATAAAATTACATGCCCCCTAATCACATGTACCATACTCTGCAACAACGCCGGAAGAACTCCCTTACTGATGTCGATAGCTGCACTGGTACAATTCTTTTAACCTGAAAATGTGAGTAATAGAGTGAGCTTTGAAAAGCTCAGTAATACAGAACTACCAGATGATGCTGATGAACATGCAGATACAGATAAAATATATATTTCCTTATTGTTTCCGAACATTTACAGATTTTTATGCTGAGCAGAGATCCTACTGATATTTCAGGTGGTAACAGACAATGAACTTTTAGTTCAGATGGAAATATTTCGGATGACTGAATTCAGGAGATCAGAATATGTTATCTAGTGTGTTCCCATAAAACCAGTAAAAAGATACAGATTTTTATTTTAAAACATATATATATATATATACACCTCATCCTTTCACAATCTGTTTGTGTAGGTTCCCTGGAACCATACACCCCGCACAACCAGTAAGGCCCTGAGCACACAGCCGAGAAGCCTGCAGATAATCTTCCTCCAACAATAAACCCCCCAGATAAAACATTTCTCCGTCGGTAAACGGAGATATCAGAAATCAAAACAAAATTCAGAACAGAATCCAGATCAGAAATCATAACAGAATTCAGGTAATGTATCAGAACAGAATTCAAGTCGGAAATCAGATAAAATATTTATATATAATTAGGGAACACACCAGAGTTTACAGATATTATTCAGAGGTATTGGATAATCTTATCAAACAGAAAAACACAGATCTTCAGTATACTGATAGAATATCGGAATTCAGAATCACTATTGGAAGAGTTCAATAACTGACAAAATCATCAATTATTCAGAATATGACTTGTGCTGGTAAGGAAGAAATGAAGGTTTAGGACATTTACAATCTATGTTGATTAATCAATTTATCGAATAACTCCAAATGAATAGCTCCCAGAAACAATACTTATCAACTTGTCAATTCATTAACCTTCCATGGTATTTACTCTTTAATACCAAATATTATTATCCATAGATCATCTTCTGAGTCATCACTGAACAGATCTTAAGGAGACTAAAAAAAATATTCCAATGCTCTTAATTTCATTTCCACGCTTCCACAATATCATATAATACTGACTTACTTGATTAATTTGTTCATAACCCATTGTAATTATACACTATGTAAACTCATTAGAGTTTCCAGACTTATCCAAATCACTTACTAAATCCTCAATCATTGAAGTTACCTAGTTCATTTAGCAGTCGTGTCCATTCCAGTTACTTCAGGATTTTCCAAAGTAATTCAAACGTTCCTGAATTTCAGATACATGTTGTATTTCCGTTCCATTCAATTTGGTCTTCGTGGTTGATTTGTCGAACAAATGTTCAATTCTTAGTATTGAATGCGATCTAGAGTTGAGCTGAGCTGAATACTTCCAAAATTATCATTGAGCTAAACTTGAGAAGACGAACATGCATTCAAGTAATATCTATGTCGTTCAGGTACTGACATATTATTAAGGTTGATCGACTCACTTATGTTATGTTCCATAACTTTTAAAGGTAGTCCAACACCTATGCTTATTTGGATTCCTTAATTAATCCAAGGTATTTACTTAGTTTAGGCCATAAGGTTATTTTGGTAACTTTGGTGTTCAGTTTTATTCCATTTATTTCAGAGCTCGAGGATATCCAATCATTCCTGAGCTTGGTGATATTCTTGGGTCATTTACATTACAGGGGTATTTTGGTTATTGTACAGATTCAGTGTACTTTAATCATTTCCTTCCGTCTGATCTTACTATTAAATTCGATCTTATCATTTATTTCAGTCCTTTCGAACAATTCTGACAACAGAACACCCCCGACAAATTGTTCTTCAGGTATTTACTCATAACTCGGATATTTCCGGGTCAAGTGCCTTCTCAGATTTTACAAACGGAACATCAGGAATTTTCCTTCACTAAGTTAGGATTTTAACAGTCAAATCTGTACTTAATCGAGTTAAGTATGGATCCTCTAAGTATTTTCTCATTCAGGGTTAACTCTGACTATTCTAACTCTTAAGGGCATTTTCATAATTCCTTAACCAGATAATTTCGATATTATCTCTTAACGAAAATAATATAATTTAGAGATCCTATGGTTAATTGCTTTCTTGAACACTCTCTGATCTTGAAATAATTCCCTTAACAGACTTCTAGTATCTTGCATAAGCCCTCTTGGGGTTAAAAACCGGTTTTCCATAATTTTCAAGTACAACTAACATTTCTTATGCACATCAATATATTTATCAGATCAATATGTCTTTTCAGATTTATTAATCCACTTCCAGGGACAATTCTTATCATTTTCCAATATAAGAGTAATTTCATATTTTTACCCTACCGAAGTATTCTCATAATTTCCCATCCAGTACCTTTAACATTTAACCTTTGATGATATAAAATATAATTTATAAATCCATGTTTGATTTCTTTATCACTAATCACAAACTTGTAATTTAATTCTAACAATCTTTCAATCTCTTATATTAATCATTCGATCCGTATTCAGATACCGAATTTCTACCACATTCATATCGATTGTAGAAACTAATTAACTACACAAATGAGACCAACATTATCTTAATCATGCATTTACCAATATTCACATGTTCTAAAAAGCATAAAGAGATAGTAAAGTATTACCTCGATTTCCGTGTAATACTGATCGACCATAAAAATTCCATTTGAACACCTTTGATCTTCAATTCAACTTCCAATAATTCCTCAGATACATATCAACATAAATTATATCAGAAACGGAGCTTAATTGCGATAAACAGATCGAATCAGGTGATAAATCAGTGAAAGACAGCTTACCGAGTTCGAATTTGGCGAAACGAACTTCGGATTCGGATTCAGGACGTCGAAAGTATAAAATATGACTTTTCGGAAATTTGAAATTTTCGGTCAAAATCAAAGTCAACGGGTTTGACTGGTAATTTCGAGGCATTCGGGTTCGAATTTTGAAAAATAGGCAGTGGAATCGGATTTGGAACGTCGAAAAATGTAAGGATAAATATACTCGGTCGAAGTCAAAGGTCGTTTAATGCCCGGTCAAAGCCGATCAAAGTTTTGGTCAACGGTGGTCAACGGGCAACGAGTCAACGGTCAACGGGTCGGGTCTAGTCAGCAGGTCGGGTAAACAGGTCGGGTCGGGTTATGACCGGCCAAACCGGTCAACTATGCACCAAAACTGGTCAAACCGGTCATTTGGACTATCTCCACGCACAGTGGCAACGCGTGGGGGCACGTGGGGCCCCTTCCGGCTACCTAAAAATCACGGAAAATTCTTAAAAAATTATTTTGAGCGATTTCAAGATACTTACAAAGTTCGGTTCACAATTTTGAACGGCGGAGAGCTCGATTTCAACAAATCGAAAACTTTGACCGCTTCACCTCCTCACGCGCCGTTGTCGACGGAGACCAAGGATGACACCAGCAAACTCGTAACGATACAACGAACACGATGGTGTAGGAGGTGTCGTAAACGGATGACCCGATCGTCGTGAATCGATGAAAAACCAACTAAAATCGAGTTATTATCGACAATACTTCCGACTGAAATTAACGACGAACGACGACAATTCACGACGAAATGTTTGAGGGGTTTTGTTCCTTGGTTGACAATGAACACGATGGTAGTTTCGACTCGTCGATCGGACGTCGGACGATGAGTAAATCGGAGTTGAAAGAAGGGTTGAGGGAAAAACTGGAAAAATAATTCTGGAAACTGACGGGGAGAGATTTATAATTCAACATATATAAAAAATGATTTAATCATAGGTTTAGCCACTGAATTTTCTTCACTTCTTAAAACGGTCTGCCAACTTTGAAATTATTCAATTTAATCTACAATTTCTTCCAAAATTCCAATTAAATTCACCACTTTATAATTTCTTTAATTTAGCCCCTAAATTGGGGTGTTACATGTTGTCTTCTTGATCATCATTTTCATCATCATCACAAACATGGTTTTTGTTATCTTGATCATCATTTTCATCATCATCATGGTCACTAATGCAATCCTTCTCAGAGTTGTATTGATCATCATGATTTCCATCATCTTTTCTTCCTAGCTTGGCATATTCCTCAGGTGATGTAGAAGGAAAAATTTCACCCACCCTACCATTTTCTTTGTTGGCCGTGTTTTTTGATGAACGTTTGGAGCTACTTTGATTCATCTGTTACATGTAAAGGAGGTCAGCATCAAGGCATTTGACAGAGTAAAGTACCATAAAACAACAAAACGTGAGAAATGGATTGCTTAGGTAATTCACTCTCCCAAAGAGAAAGTATGCATTTTAGCACCTATCAACTACCAAGTTCATTGACAATGATGACATATGAAGAAAACAAGTATATATGTCCTGCTCAGTTAAGAAGCACTTTAGACAATACGAGTACAAAAACAATGTTTAAATTTTTAAGGTCTAGCATAATTCACAGATTATAGCATGTGAAACCTGCCAATGCAGAGTTATAATGATATATCTAAGAAAGTTTGCATGCCTTGTCAAACTAAAAAAGATTGAATTGTTTATCCAAGAATGATATATCTTTTTTATGTGGTAGGTCACAGTCAATAGCAGGTTTTGGTCTAAGTTCTAATACCCTCGCGCCACTGGGTCTTGCCAAAAAGATCTATATCGTCTCAACCAAGGGAAATTCAAATCAATAAAACCTTTTATAACTTCTAAGCATTTATTTAGTCTTTCCTTCACGAGTTACATCAAGGTAAATCCCTTCTATGCTTCTGCTATATTAGAAGTTTGGATCCACTAAAATTTTACTATAAATCATAAAAGTTATAATTAATTGGATAGAACTCCTAATTATTAGCATAATCATGAACCAACTCAATTACTATCATCAAACAGTTGTGAATTATTTCCAATAGCAGAAGACTGACAGCAATATCAGAATCGTAATTGGAGACTTACAGCACGTAACAATGTTCTTCTATCCCTCTCTCGAGCATTTTTAATTGCCCGAAACAATATTCACACAAATTAATCAACGAAAACTAACATAAGAAAAACACATCGAAAAGATTGCTCCAAACCAACCTCTTCAAGCATCTTTTGCTCTTCTTCAACCTCTGCAGAATCCCTGTGAGAGCAACACAGTCAGAAGTTCAATGTTAAATCTTTTACCCAAATATATGTATCGGAAACTAGAAACAAAAAAATTCTCAAATGATTCAAGGACAAACCTCCCAACTATTTGATCAACACGACATCGACACTTAGTACACACTTTTTGTTCCTTTGCACATCCTATAACAAGATATCCAAACCCAGTTGATTAATTTTCACAAAATAACTACATTTGACATACATTTCGCTCAATTTGACGAGAAACTGTTGAATCAAAACAATCAAAGAACTAATAGCAGAGGAAACGAACCAGAACAAAGATTATGATAGGCTTGACGCACATTACGTTTGGAGCAAAGCTGACTGCCAAAATAAAAAAATAATATAAATAAAATGCACATAAACCATTATTTTTCTTTTAAAAAACTTACCATTTTGCAGGCTCCGTTAAGGGTTTATATTTGCCATAACGACGCTTCCAATCGATTTGTTCTTTGCATCGAGGGCAAACTCCAGTTATATCAGAGTAAGGCCTTAGCTTCCCTCCAACTTCCTATTGAAAATAAAATTTTCAAATTTAAATAAAAATATATATGAATAAAATGAAAAAGAAAAATAGCAGTAATTGATTACCTTCTCGTTGATTTTAACACCGGCGTTTGGTTTCCAGGCGTAGCGATTTTGGTGCTTCGGTGGCCCTCGCCGACTGCTCATCTTTTGCTTGTTGGCTGCCGACTCAATCACTCTTCTCTGGCTAAAGTTTGGGATTTGTTGATTAAACCTAGACCATTTTTGCTAATTAAAACAAGCAAAAAAAAAACTCAATTTTAATATACGATTAAAAAAAATTATCAATTTTATTATTTAAATAATAACAAATCCCGCAATACCTCTTATTAATCATATATTAAACCTGTTGCACCGTAGAACTTGTCATTAAAACTGGGTAAACTACATATTAAATCTACCTACATATTTTTGTGATTTTATTTTGATCAATTAATTATTTGTTTATTCAAAATCATTAATAATTTTATGTTATTATTATATTTTAATGACTCATGATTAAAAAATTACGTAAAAAAATTATTTTTTTCAATGATGATAGATATTAACTTATGATGATACGTTGATATCATCATTAATTTTTTAACGATTGGTGATCAAAATAAAATTAAAATATATCATTAGATATAATTTAAAAATGATTAATTAGGTAATCGAAATAGAACTACAAAATTTTGTAGATAATTAAATAGATAATTTATTCTAAAAATTATATATTTTTTTCTGATTTACTCTCAATAGATAAATTTTTGAGCTTTTAAATAAAGAAAGGATTAGTGTATAAAAAAATAAATTATAAGATAGTACTAAACTTCGTTTATAATATTAAACTTTTAATTTTATCAATTATAATATTAAACTTTGATTTTCATTTCAATTATATTACTATATCGTTAAGTTAGTAATAAAATGATAACATGACTAATAGTTACTGATATAAATGTCAAATTAAAATGGTGTCATTTTAGTACTCCTGTTTTGGCATTCAAAAGATTCAAAACAACGTCGTTTTATTTAATAAAAAATTGAAATTGTTTACTTAGAATCTACCAATTTGAATTTTTGTTATATTTTTATAAAAATTATAAAATTATAATTAAATTATTTCTAGATTTCTAAATAACGTAGAGGCTAAACCTAAATTTTCCTAATATTATACTTTTCTCTTCTTCCTTCTAATCTTAATCTGCATAGCCATCTCTGATTCATTCACAAAATTAAGACATTTAAATAATAAAAAATGGTAGATCCAGGGTTCAATTTGTCACTTTTTGAAACTACCAGTACCTAAGAAATATTTATATCCAAAAAAGTTGGAGGGGACAGGCGCCGCGCCGCCCTCCGTGATCCACGTGGTACCGTCCCTGAATCACATATTCAACGTTCCGACTAGAATTCTTAAAAGGAAGACGTTCCAGCTAAAAAAAAGGATGAAATCGAAGCTAACAATAACTCTCAAGGTCTGGATTTCAAATGAGAAATCCTTTGTTTTCAATCTTATGTTTCTGTCGAGCATCTGAAAGCAAATTAAAGAAGATCAAACACCCAACGACCAAGGGAAATGGTAAATCGTCACTTCCACAACACCTATACCGTCGATTTTCACTCGACGAGATCAGAGCTGCTACCGATAACTTCGATTCCAACTTGGTTCTTGGTAAAGGTGGCAGTGGCGTTGTATACAAAGGCTTTTTCGACGACGGGGCCTCGGTTCTAGCGGTGAAACGCTTGATGGGATCGTCGATACTTGAAGACTTTCGAAATGAAGTGCAGCTACTTCGCCAGCTGCGACACCAACATCTTGTTTCTCTCATCGGATTCTGCGATGCCGGAGACGAGAAGATTGTAGTGGTGGATTACATGACCCAAGGATCTTTGTTCTATCATCTCCACGGAATTCGCCAAGATCCCCTCACTTGGAAACAGAGGTTAGAGATCTGCATTGGGGCAGCTCGTGGATTGCATTATCTTCATGCAGGAGCAAAGCGAGCAGTGATCCACCGTGACATAAAGTCCAGCAACATTCTGTTAGACGACCGAATGCTTTCCAAGATTGCTGATTTCGCGTTGTCTAAGATAGGCCCATTTAGTTTATCGAAGGATATTTGGTACTCTGGGTTATTTGGCTCCTGAGTTCTTGCATGAAGCTAGACGTTTTCTCCTTTGGGGTTGTTTTGTTGGAAGTAATTTCTGGTAGAAAAGTAATAAAGTTTGACGTGATGGACGCTGCTACTCGATATATAATTCCTTGGGTTAAAGAACACATGAATGGAAGTGTTTATCAGATCATCGACCCATTTTTGAAAGGGAAAATAGCTCCGAGTTGCTTAGAGAAATTCCTGGAGATTGCTTTCAGTTGCATCCATGTTCGGGAGCATAAACGGCTTGCTCTGGGTGAACTTGAGGCGACATTAGAGCTTGCTTTGGAGCTCCAAAACAGGGCAAACTCCGAAATGGAGTGGCTCAATCCCCATGGAGAAGTTGTGTATCAAGAAGTAGATGTCTCGGCATCTGCCTTCAATTACGTGGCCGATGTATTCTTACCCCATGGAAGTTCTGGCCTTCATAACTTGAACGTTGAGGATTCATTCAGCTGGAAAACTGAGGATATGGTGTCAGAAAATTGAAGATATTGAATCTGGATGTTTGGACGAGTCAAATTAGGTGTCGTTAAGCAAATTGAATTATTTCAATCCCTTTCTTCTGGTAGCTTCCTTCATTATTATTTTATTTTTATGTCGTGAATTATGTGTGCGTCTGCTATGGTTAGGAAGGTGCAGTTGACACTACACATTGATCAATTAAATAATTCTGATGACTAATATCATCTTAGGCATTGTTAATTCTACACGCTTGAGATGCTAAGTTTTTTTAACCTACACATAGGGTCATTACATTTATAAAAAATCATTTTAGTCATCTATTTATTTTCAAAAAGTCACCAACGTTTACTTTCATTTTTATTTTGATCTCTTTCCCATAATTTTGTTATTGACATGTGTCTTTAAATTGTAATGATACATGTCGTCAGATTAATTATTATATGTTCATTTGCCATGCTCATTCTTGTCAGGGTATTCATTTGGATAGAAGTACAGACGAAGGAACTTGGGGAATTCATATGTGAACTCGCCACGAAAGATACGAGCTGTCATGTAAGGAACTTCAGTGACAGGATTCTTTATACGAAGCAAGGGATGCAAAAGAAGACGCATTAGAACGATCTTCATCAGCGTCGGCAACCCAGTTTCTGCCATCCTAGTAGAATGTAGTGTTGGACGAAGCACCACAGTACAAAAGTATGTAATCGGTAGGAGTACAAGGAGCTGAAATTGTTGTGGAAGCTGAAGAGAAAAGGGCGAGGAAGACGACGGTAATTAAGAATAGCATTGTTATTTTAGTGTCATGTCTTGGAGCCCTGCAACTTCGAAAAGTTATATAGCAGAGTATGACTTGAAGGTCAATTGAGTATCAAACTGCGAACTACCAGTTCCAGCTAAGGCTTAATGGATTGAAAATGCAAACCAGCTAAGTTGTGAACGACTGGAAACAGGGACTCCACAGACTTGTTGCATGTAAGAAGTTTCAAGAGTAATGACATTTCAGTTGACCAGTGTTGAATGAGCCAACGATTTTAGTGGTCGGCTCATGTAGAGAGTGGTTATGAGTAGTTAGTTTGTTGTAAATATTAGTTAGTTTTTACTTTAGCTACTGTGTATATAAACATTGTATTATTCATTTTGCAATATAAGAGGAATTATTTATACTGTGTATTTACAAACTTTACAGCTCATGAGTGTTTTTTTGTTGTTAAGAAGCATTTATTGATCCTCTAGTTCTTTTAATAAAATGATGAGTTTATAAGCAGTAATGTTTGAGTTTGAAGGTGAGAAAATACGTAACTTTTGAGTTAAGTGAGGAAGAAGAAATGAAGGTCAGCTGGAATAAATAAATATGCGGACGTAACTCGCAATGCTGGCCGAGACAAGAACTTTTTTACTGTAAATCAAAATTTTAAAGCATAAATTACATGTTTAGTTCTTAAACTATAAATTTTATTCTGTTTTGGTGTCAAAGTTTTATTTTTTTTAAAACTATTCTTATCGTTCAATTTAAGTTTCATTTTCGTATTCTTCTATTAAAAATTTAACGGAACTACCATACGTGGTACGTTTTTCATTTGGTAATGATGTATACAGGTATATCGATGTTTATTATCTCCTTAAAACAAGAAACCTCCTTAATTCTCACCCTCGTATCTTAGTCCGGTTCGTTCGACGGGAGGTAAATGGAGCGGCTCACGCACTTGCTAACTATATTTCAACATCGTCTTTGCCTTTATATTTTTAATCTATAATTTCGGATTGTATTGCTGCAATTGTTACGTCTTATGCTATGTTCAACCAATGAATATTGTTTACTTTTTTAAAAAATTGACATTTAATAATAATATAAATATAATTTGATCTAAACATTAAAAAAAAAAGAGGTACACGAAATTACCTAGAAATATCTTATATTACAAAACCTTCTTTTTCCTTGAATTCCAAGGAAAAATTCTATTGGATCTTTATCAAATGAACTTGGAATTATTGTGAAGATTCCTAATCAACAGGCTGCAAGTTTCGTTCATCGTCCTTGGGGATCTCTAATCTCTGAGAACACTGCCTTTGACGACTGTTTATCAGAATACTTAGTAATAAAACTTTGTTCATCACTTCTTGTCAAACTGAAAGTACAAATGCTCCTGGAATTCATGACATGATCGCCAATGCTACTGAACACTTCCCCACTGTCATCTTCCATTGCATAGGCTGTAAAAGGGGTCTCCTCGTCGACTTCTTCTTCGATGCTGGCACCAGCATTAGGCGTGATCCCCCTCCTCCACAAGTTCTTGCAATTGAAGTGCGTACTGTAGTCCCCATACCACGGCATCCATCGATGGCCTCTCGGTTCCTTCTTCATTCAAGCAACTCGTTACCACTTCAACGAATTTTTTTCAAACACTCGGGCACAATCTTACCTTTCAAAAATGGATCGACGATTTTGTGAAGTGTTCCATTTTGATGGCATTGTTGAAACCATGGTGCTAAGCTTACCTGAGCCTTCTCAGAAGAGCGGCTAAGGGGGGGCCTAGCACATAATATTTCACAGAGGACCACTCCTGTTAGGTATGGCTCATAAATATACTAGTAAAGAGGACAGGAGATG